TATCATAAACTAAAATAAATACTATTGGGTAATAGAAAGCCAGTTTGCTCAGTAAACTTTCCCTCAAATGATGCTGGGGGAAAAATACCCTTTAAAGAAATTATTATTTAGAGCTACTTATTAAAAGTGTTTACTAACAACAGGAAAAATTGAGAAACAATTTAAATATTTGAGGAAAAACCCCAGAGATATGTTTTTGTAATTCATAAGGAATTGTGTTGCTAACCCTGAGGCCATATCTCTCTAGCAATTTCAGTTGGCCAGCAAATCCTAAGGTGAAAGATGGGCAATCTCTTACATTCCCAAAACCAGTGGAGGAGTCTGACTTGACAATAACAATAAATGACTGCTGTTGATGTGTAACATTGGAACTAATAGCTGACCCTCCAGCAGGTTTTCTGAGGCAGTTAATCACACAAGAGGAGATTGTCTGACCTGCTCTGTAAGAGCATCTGGTCTATTCAAACCATGTATCTTTGGGATTGCAGCTCAGCTTCTTACCAATAGGCCATCAGAGCTCCTTAATAAAAGACTGTTATTGTTGTCATTATTATATGCTGTTAAGTTGCCTGCAACCCATAGTTACCCTATGTATAGCAGCTCTGAAACTTGACCTATCCTGAGTCAGTCTCACTAACTCCGACACACTGTTGTTAAGTAAAGGACTGTTGTTGTTAAGTGCCATCAAGTTGTAGATAACTTATAGCGACCCTATGAATGAAAGATTTGAGCTCTATTCATAGATTTTTCGTAGGCAAGCCATTTCGGAAGTGGATGCCACCCCTGCTTCCAAGCTTCTTTTAATTGGGAAGCTCCACGAAACATTGTCACAGTGTTTAGCATCACAGCAACCACGAGTTAACCTCTGTACAGCAATGCACAAACCAGTGCTATACCACTTAGAAGAATATTTGACAAAAAAACAATTTAAACCAGGCCTGAGTGCTGCAGATTAGAATCACCCACTTTGGGCTTGGTAGCATAACTTTCTGTTCATTAGGCCAATGTAGCTCTGTCTTTGTTGTTACTTTGTTAAATTATCCTATGGTTACTAACATGCATTTCTGTTTTACAGTCAGTGAATCCCAGAAAGGCTTACTTAAGCAAGATCACACATAGTAAGGGAGAAAACCAAATTATTCCAGACACCATCTTCTATTGCCTTTGCTCTATATTATAGTGTACTGCTATACATTGAATAAAGGTTTAGGAAGTGTAACCTCATACTTGCATTGTAAATATGAAGATTTAAAAATTTGGCATTTTCTTTTCAGGATGTTATAAATTGCATAGGTGGATTAAATGTACTTTTTCCTTTATTGGAACAAATCAGCCACTGCAATGAAGGACAGATTCCTGATGGAATGAATGAAAGTACAGTTTCTGAATTGGTAACACCGGTAGAAGGAGACTGGGTGGTATTGACTTCAACAAAGACATCAGGTACTAAGATGGAATTAATAAAAAAAATAGTCATTGAGTATTAATCATATACCCTTAGAATGCTGAATTGTATGTTTCTGTAACAACTAATTTTTAATTTTACTAGTAAAATTCAGAAGATTTGTATTATTTAAAA